GCACCAAAGACTGTTAAAGAAAGTGGCAGCTCATGGCATTGGGGGAAAAGTGCTCTCATGGATCGAGTCATGGCTCACAGACAGGAAGCAGAGAGTGTTGTCCATAAATGGGGTTAAATCCGAGTGGGGATCAGTAACAAGTGGCGTTCCACAGGGATCAGTCTTGGGCCCGTTGTTGTTTATAATATATATCAATGACCTTGATGAGGGAATTACTAGTGATATGAGCAAATTCGCCGATGACACAAAGATAGGTAGGATAATTGATTCAAACGTAGATGTTAGGGAACTTCAGGAGGATTTAAACAAACTATATTTTTGGTCAGAAAAGTGGCAGCTGCAGTTCAATGTAGATAAATGCAAGGTTCTGAAGCTCGGGAGTGTCCATAACCCTAGCATGTATAAGTTAAATGATGTAGAACTTAGCCATACAGATTGCGAAAAGGACTTTGGGGTTATGGTGAGCAGCAACCTTAAACCAAGACAGCAATGCCTAAGCGTACGTAATAAGGCAAATAGATTACTGGGATTTTTATCAAGAAGTGTAAGCAACAGAAGTCCAGAGGTCATACTGCAGCTTTATACATCATTAGTAAGGCCTCACCTAGATTATGCAGCTCAATTCTGGTCTCCATATTACAGAATGGACATAAATTCGTTAGAAAACATTCAGCGTAGGATGACTAAATTAATACATAGCATTAGAAATCTTCCTTATGAAGAAAGATTGAAGACTATTAAGTTACATTCACTTGTTAGACGAAGAATGAGGGGAGACCTGATCGAAGTGTATAAGTGGAAGATAGGTATTAATAAAGGGGATATTAATAAGGTCTTGAGGATATCTCTCCAAGAGAGAACCCGCAGTAATGGATTTAAATTAGACAAGTTTAGATTTAGAAAGGACACAGGAAAGTATTGGTTTGGAAATAGGGTAGCTGATGAGTGGAACAGTCTACCTAGTTGGGTTATTGAGGCTAGAACCTTAGGTAGCTTCAAATTTAGGTTGGATAAATATATGAGTGGGAGGGATTTGATTTGATTGGGACTTACAAATGAGCGGATAGAGTTATCAGAGCTTATTTCTTGGAAGGCACTGAAAATTGGGTTGGGCAAATGTTTTGTTAGTGGGATGGATTGTAAAGGACCTGCCTAGTATGGGCCAACAGGCCTGCTGCAGTGATCCTCCTTTCTTGTGTTCTTATGTTCTTATGTTCCTTCGACCCCCGTTGGGGAGGGGAATTTGTATTCTACAAGTGCCCTGGCTCTATTTCTACGACTAAGAACACTCCTCTCCAACGCTATACCTTCAAAGGTATACTCTTCAAAGGTATACCTTTGAAGAGTTTCGAGAGTTTATCTACTCTCTGAGCCCGGCCATGGGCCAGGCTCGTCTGTTGTTTGCCTGGTCAACCAGGCTATGCTTCGTCTATTCCGTCTTCCCCGCTTATCCCATTGGAATCTTATCTGCACTTGTTCATTCATTCGTAGTGGTAGTTGTAGTTGTAGTAGCCGTGAAGAAGGTTATTTAAATGTCCTCTGAACCAAGATTCCATGATGTTGCGGTGTTTGACAAGTTGTACATGAATGGTAGGCTATACTATACCGACAAGATGAAAATTAGACACATATGCAACATCTAGGTATCTGTATTGTAGACGTTTCCCCATCCAGTAGCTTTATCAATACAGATTCCATGACATAATTTGAAGACAGTAGAACTATATACAAAAGATGAGGTAATCGGTCCCTCAGCCTTAGAGTTGGTGTGAAGAGCACAGTAGTTGTAGAGATTCTGGAGCACAAGTAGGTAGGTAGGCTCACAGGTAAGACCCACAACTGGGTGAGCGGGGAAATGGGGACAGACGAAGAATAACCGGCGAGAGGAATGTCTTTAGTTGTAGAATAAGAGCCGGGGCTAAACCCAGCTGCAAGGCGATGTGAAGCACATGTCGACGACGATGTAAAATGCATGAGAGCACGACTTAGGGCTGGCTGCATCTTGCGCGGTGGGTGTTAATTAATCTTGTTGGTGACTGGTGGCTGGCGGTAGGCAAGGAGTAGGAGACGGGGGCAAGGAGGCTGCTGTGTGGCGATTAGTCATTTGAGATGCAGTAGTTTAATGGGAGTTGTGACTGTGTCACACAATTTCCGTGTTGACGGTAGTAGATGCATTTTTGAGAGTTCTGAGTGTTGATCTTGGGATGAGTAATCTTGTCTTCTTGGTCTCAATTGCTGGGTCTTCTATTACTTGTTTTAAGGTCTCTAGTAGTGTTGAGAAAGAACAGTAGGTGCCATGGCTGCAGGTGAACTTTACTGTCCTTGCCGCAATTTGTTTGTACAGGTTGGTCGAAGTCATCTCACATTCGTGATCTTCGGTTGTATAGAAAGTGACGTCATTCCTGTGTGGGTAAGGAGTAGCGTTATCTGGCTCCATTCTTTGACGAGCTGAAGGTGTAGGTTTTGCCTTCTTGGTTGGTGGTTGAGGCGTTTAGGGCGAGTTCACTGATTGGTCCATAGTAGCTGAGGAGGCGGAAGATGCTCCTGGTGCTGATTGGTTAGTTTCTGTGATGAGTGGAGGCAATGGTGGCTTCTCATTGGTGGGTTCTGGGTGCGAACAATTGTCATTATCAAGAGCCATGTGCTGCAAATCATCTGGTGCAGTGAAGCTGACGATTTTTGGGATGATCTTCAGTATATTGGCGGAAGGAGGGCATTCTGGGAAGTTAAAGGATGGCATGTTCTTTAGTGCAAAGAGTTCATTAATAATCATGTTGTAGGACCCAAGGTGCTCTGCGTTTTGCATGTGAGCAAACAACATGCAGTAGTAAATTTGTGTTGAAATACCGTCGGGTAGTGAAGTGGTGGTGGTTGGTGGCGTCTGTTGGGTAGCATGCAGGATCTTGGTAGTGGCCGTTTGGAGTTTAACTATAGCAGCATTAGCAGGGGAATTAACGGTCGTCTTAAGGTCTTCTTTTATCTTCATTAATAAGATCTCCTTACGAACAGAACATTTGGCTGCTAGAGTGTGATGGTCACTCTTACAGCTGATGCAAATGGAGGCAGTAGTTGAGGTGCAAAAGCGATAATCATGCCCGTCACTCCCACATGTGGAACAAATCTTCCCATTCTTGCTATGGCATTCAGTGGTGGAGTGGTTATAGGAGTAGCAAGTCCAACAAGGTGTTATATATTTGAAGCGTTCTGGCTAAATCTGTTGAGGGTTGATGTAATAAAATGAAATGGCTAGGCCATCTGCAGGGCTCTGGCGGCCATTATTAATGTCCTGAAATGTGACCTTAAGCATCGTGCAGGCGTTGGAAATCTTCACGACACTTTCTACCATGGCCCAGTCGTTCTGGTCTTCAATCGATGACTTGAGTTCTTCTGAGTTCAGAAGCACTATCTTTTAGGAACTCAGCCGGGATGTTATCTGGACCAGTGCTCTTAGTTGGGTTTGACTTACTTAGTTCTTTTCGCACGAAGTCGGTAACTGTTTGGGGTGACGCCTTTATTAGTGTAGCATGTTTTAAACTCATTGGAGTCTGTGTTAAAGATATTTGATGGAACTGGTAATGCATTTACTAGTGTTGATGCAACAGATGTGTAATATGAATTAAAACAATTTGCCACTTTAGCTGTTTCATAGCATACCTCGTTATCGATATTTACCACTATTTTAGATCTATCTACGGATTCATTTCTATACCCCAACTGTTTTAGATGTTGCCAGAGCTTTCTGGGTTTATTCTTATATTCTTCGATTTTTCAGTAATAGTGCCATGCCTTTAGTGCTTTTATAAGCCTCTTCAATCTGTTCCTTACCCTTTGGAATTTATTCAGCAGTGCAGTATCCTGTCTCTTTGCCTTAAATCTTTTTAGCAACTGATCCTTGGATTTGATATTATCTAATACCCCAGCAGTCATCCAGGGTTCAGTTCTTCGTTTAACTGATGCAATATCATCAAGGATAGTAGTGAACATGGCACTGAATGTTTCCCAGACATCATTTACGTGTAGGGTTATCTACACAAATATCCCCTCCCCCACAAAAAAAAAGAGATGTTGAGTCAGGAAGGAAGACAAGATTTACCATTTATCTATACCTATGCAAATATTTTTATTTAATTTTACAGCTAACAGGAGAACATTCTGTGTTCAGGTTAAAGCATATTAACTATACTTGGATCATTAGGTTCTGATTTATTTGAACATTCATATAAAGAACACTTTAAACCTTTATAATACCTTAATATACACCTTGAGATATGTTCTTCGTTGTAAATACTCCGTGTTGACATTCTTATATTACAGAAATTTTCTAAACCCATATTATAAACAATAGCTGAAGACTCAGAAATCATCAAATTGCCGATATAATTATTCCACTATACCTGAAATGTTTAGTGATCAACTGGCGATATAATGCTACACTTTCAATAAAGGCTTCCAGGATGCATAAATTGTGAGGTGCAGCTCTCAGTGTATACACTGCAATTTTTCTCTTAGCTCTATCTTTGTGGTTAAATTATCGTTCAGCTTAGAGTAAAGGTTAGTTAAAAGGATATAAGTGCAACTAAAGTAAAGGTGTACTGCGGCGTTAATATTACACGTGTTGTCGCGAGTCTTGACAGTCCAGTTTGTCAGAAACTTATGTAGGGAGAAACACTTATAATTTATATATTCCACATTTTTAACGGACATCATTGTTTTAAGATAAATAATTATGGTATTAAGAAAATTTATGTTGCAGGAATTATTTATGAAAATTGTACATTTAGGATTTTTTTTTTTACTTTTTTTTATGAAAAAAAAAATTAGAGAATTAAGACTCCAGACGGCATATGCGCATTTCCAACCTTAACTGGGTGATGTATTAGCTAGTCTTTGCAGCCCCTCAGGGACTAGATTTTCGCTCCTGGTTCTCTGTTGGTAACCCTTGGCCCTTAAAAAAAAATACATATCAGATTAAGTAAATCTGTGATCTCTCTCTTTCGCAGGTGAATTCAAATGGCTTCGTCTCCTTTTTGACTGAGATACCCAACTTCTTCAACGTCCAGTTTCCCCTCGAGTACCCCATCATCGCTCCCTTCTATTCTGACGTTGACACCAGGCAGGCTGGGACCATCTGGTACAGGTACGGCGATGGTGGAAACAACTACCTCAGAACAGTACATGTAATAGGTATAATTTGGCTCAAGTGGAGAAAGAAGGGACATCTAAACTAGATCTTATCGATATATCTGAATCGTTACTGTCACCTACACACAATCCATATTTAAATCGACAGTTCAGAAGTAACTGCATAGAAAAAGCAACTTATGCTAAAACGTAACATTCTCTCATGCAAATACATGAGAGTTAACCAATTCTACTAGGGGTACGTGTTTCAATTTTATACGAACAACGCAGGAGAAACGCTGAGTACAGCTTATTTATATTTTTATCTAGATCAGCTACAAACACCAGCAGGTGATATAGACCTCCGTGCTAACCACCCATCATGGAGCAAAAGAACCAAGAATGCAGCTGGGTCATATTTATATAATTACCTGGACTAGTATATATTCTGCTCACGCCTCCATTCCTTACTACAAATTTTCACTTGCTACAAATTTTCGTCAATGATACATCCCTTGATATATGCTGAGGGCTTACTTCAATTTAAATATGAGATTAAATATCAATCTGATCAAGACATCGGCAGTGACTATACGGAACATGTCGTGATATTGCCAACAAGTTACTTGTTTTCGATTCCGACACTGAATATACAAAACAAGGCCCAGCGAGAAGATACCGTTGTAATTCGTGATACGAGCACTGAAATCATGCCTAGAGTTAAGACCATGAAATTAGTGCAGATTTAAACTATGCACCAAAAATCATTTATCACAACAACAAACAATAAAGGCAATTCAAAAGTCTATGTGGCTCCAAGTGAGGTGAGGCGGCAATAAGTTGATACGGGTAAAAGGATGGACTACATACCTTCTGATGGGTCTAGGCACCAGCGTTGCAGAACACCCTGTCTCTGACCAGGTCTCCTGGTTGATACTTGAGAGACGCGACCCAGATGACCTAGAAAACTTTTTTAGGAACTTATCAAATTTCTTTTTGAAGACAGTTATAAAAGAAAAATGATCAGTTTGTTTACAGTGTAAGTAGCTCCGTTAATGCACTTATCTATGTTTATGTTGATATAGTGAGATGTAGTTTGATTCAAACCTCTAATCAAATTTCTAGGGCATTTATATTCCTTATTTACTTCTCTTCTGTTACTAATTTTAATTCTTGACTATTGTTATATTCAGTTTATTCCTTCAAACTACTTTCTTCGGCTAATTTATCAGCTCTTTCATCTAATTCATTGTGAGATGGAATCTTTAAAAACTGTTTATTAAATTTTTATAATTTTTTTTAATATATGTACCAGATTTTGTTAATGGACATGTTATTAGTTGCTATGCGAGATATATTCATATAGTGTTTAATATAATAAGTAAATAATGATCAAGGAGAGAATCTCATTGTCATAAGATAACTTTGATATGAAGATAGAAGCTATGTTAATACCGACAATATGGATGAAAGTACGTACACAAGTGCATAAAAATCCTAGAGCCATTAGGATGACAAACAATTTAATTTGTAATATAAAAGCTCAATTCTTAACTCTTATGCCTGACTCAACATGCTTGACATAATTTTTTAACAGAAAGGTGGCTAAAAGAACAGAAGCAACCATGTTATTAGGTTTGTTTTTCTAGATAATACTAGACATTTTTTTTTTTTCACAAAGGCCAAATGAAGAACCAGTAATAAATTGCAGTTATAGCTACTTACCATGTTGTATAACAGTTTTAGACGTCTAAAAATAATTATTTCCTAAAATTCTGCTTATTCTTCCTTGTTTAAATTACTCTACAAATTTTAGGTTTGATGTTGAAGGTGTATCTGTAACCTCTGGTTCACTTTTCTTCACAAAGTTATTGAATAATTTTAGCACTTTGCATCACTTATCGTCACTAGCAAGATGACTCCTAATTCTTAGCAGGGCTTCCATGGTTTCTACTTTCAAGAGACTCGTCATATATTCTGTGCTTACGAGTGCTTCACTGCGTTACCTTACTACTTTAATTAATTGTATTAATTGCAAAACTGCACAATTTTTTGATAACTGTAAAACTATAGTTAGGTTTGTAGTCAGCACCAGCTCTAAGGCCAATCTGCTTTTTTTTCCTTACATTTCTTATATATGTGGTATGGTAGATTTACTGAAAGGTACATTTATAGCAAGTCAACAGTAAGGTTTCACTTAGTTGAAAGGTTATCCTACAAAAATGTGGGTGAGAAACGTCTGTCATAATAGTGTTAGATACAGAAAAACGTTTCAGTTTTAGTCTTAAAAGCATAAAAATTTCAGTAGCCCACGGCACCGTCCTGGCATCTTCAGTGTTTATCATCCCAGAAGCAAGTAAATAAAATCACCAAATATAGTTTTGTATTATTCTATTATACTTGGCAGACGATACCAAAATCAGCAAGAAAGGTGCCTTAAAAGAAGGCAAAAAGGTAAATTACAAGTAGCTGTCAACAAGTCTCACATTGGGTAATTAAAAATAACACGGTTTTAAGTGGTGATAAATTCTAGTTGCCTGGATAGCTAAATAGCGAAAAACTCAATATGAACACTGGATACAAAAGGCAGGAGGACCATTTCGTAAAAAGAAGGGAACGTGCAGACGACACAGGAATAATAATGTCAGCCGACCTATCTTTTTTTTTTTTGAGAATCCAGTAACACAAAAGCAGCAGAGGCCATAAAAGTAACAGGGTGGATAAAGAGAACTTTCAATGAAAGTTAAATTATGTTGCTGTTGGTACTTCTCAAATCACTTGTGTTCCCACTTCTAGAAAAATGTTTTGTAATCACAACTCCATTCAAGGCATAAGCGATATAAGAGCTCGAGAATGTACAAAGGTCATTTACAGCCCGGAGAGTGAATATTGAACTTTACATTACTTGGAATGTACTCTGAAGCAGAAATGAGAGAGACATGCTTGACAAAGTATATCTGGAAGATACTGAAGGGATAAATATCAAATTTGCAAACTACCATGAAAAGTACTGAAGTAAAAGATACAAGAGAAAATGTTAAGCAAATCCATTAAAAAGCAGAGGCCCTATAGACACAATAAGAAAACACTGTGTCAATATTTATTGCCTAAGGCTTTACCTTCTATCAGAAGGTATAAAAAAATATTGCCAGGATAAGGTAGAGATTTTCAATGAACTGGGCCACTACCTCCTCAGGCTGTGATAGCTATGAAATAGTTAATAGCAACATCGTGGTTGTATAAGAAGCCTGGCCTCAGGATGGGTTGCAAGGGTAGAATAATCTCATAAATTGGCCACTGACACGCTACAGCAGTGGTAACCACATGTGTTGCTTCATTAGAGAGCACCCACACACTTCCACTCTGGACTGGACTCGCCAGTTCTTACAAACATGGCTTATCTCCTAAACGTAACAGAACGAGAGGCCGTAAAATAATTTATTCCAGGCTTAAAATATTAATAAAAACCTATATGATGTTTTTTTCTTCTTTCATATATAAATGCTAGAAAACTAATTACATGAAACTGAGATATTTCGAATTTATAGTTTTCATTTTTCTTCATAACAGATTAATTTTAGATATATATGTCCATTTTTTTCCCTTCAGAGAAACATCAGACCCAGGCACAATATCACGAGCGAAGTTTGATGTACAACAGTATTTCAGCAGTGCAGCCAGTTTCGAGCCGCAGGGTGTTTTCATAGTCACCTGGGATGGCGTGGGCCCCTACAACCAGCGGGCAAACAGGGTATTTTCTTGAAGATCACCGTATAATAAAACAAAAAAAAAAAACCAGTTAATCTTTGAGGGTCGGACATATTCATTTTGCTCACAGTCACTTGTTCTCAGGTGCTCTTGTCTTCCTTTGTATAGGTTGTGACGTGCCACTGACTGGATCACATTTTTAAAAAAATGCACTCGGCTTAGACCCTTCTGCCTTTGTCATGATTTTTATAATTACCGAGGTACCTGTAGGGAAGTCAGGGAACTTTCTGGCGAGTCTTGGACATTAATAAATGAACTTAACTGTTGCTGATTATTTTATCCTGGTATACTAGTATATATGTTGAGTGCTTATTTTCTTTACTTTAATTGTTTGTTGAATTTTGTCTCTGTTTTCTTTGTGTTGTGTATGTTTCTTGATGCCAGTGAGAGTTGAGTGATATATGCTGTCAAAGTGCTCTAAAAATATCACAACAAATACTATTACTTCCCTGGGGATATTTAGTGCTGCTTGGCAAAATTTAATGCATTTTAGAAAAGACAGAACAGAAGACTACGGTTATAAAGGGGAAAACATTATTTGTTTAGAATAAAATAATTAAAAATATGTAACAAAATTTTCTTTAAAATTCTTTCAAAGTTTTACCTAGTCCGCACGACATATATATAAAAAAATTTTTTAGGTCCAAACATAACTTCAAAAGCTCCCCTAACCTTTTAACTCATATTTTTTTTATCCAAATTCTTTTAAATTTATCATAGGTAAGTTTATTAAATATTCTTAAAATAAATGATAAATGTATTTTTTTTATGTTCAGACTGATTTTCGTAGATTTATTGCAAAAAGAAATTTTCACCCTTGCTACTTACGTGCTTAACGAACTTTTTTTTCTCTCTCCAAAACTCTCTTCCCCTGTGAAATATCCTCTTATTTACCTTGACTATATTTTCAATCTCCTAAATCTTAACAACACTTTCCGTCCTTTAGATATCAAGCTTACGTTTCGCCAGACTAATATCCTTCATTGTAATCTATTTCATATCATCTACCACTGATGCTCCGGTGTCCACTCCATTTCCTGCTCCTGTGATCTCCAACACCTTGGAGAAACTTGCCACTATTTTTAACTCTTACAAAGCACCAAAGAAGCGTTCAGCGCTGTCTTGTTGAAGCATCCCTTATACATAACATTTCTAACATTAATCTTAGTTCTGGCTTTGTCTCTGTAGATGCCTTCCTTTCCTTACCTCTTCACTTATCATGTATTGTCATTTCTTGTCTTGTCATCTGTCTATGACTATGTCCTATAGGGGATTTGTCACACAGGGGATTTTGTCCGTTGCCTATGTCCCAGTAGCTCTCCTTCAGTACTCCTCTCTCTTCTTTTGTTCTTACAGACTATCTCCACTATTACCACTACTAATACCACAAATTCTTCACTAATGCTTCAATCTCTCTAAATATTATTTCCCTAGTTACCTACTACCTCTGCTGCTACCTTCTTAATTTGACTTTTATGGCTGCTACACTACTGTCTCTATCACTACTACCACTGCTACTATTAAAACTACCTCTACTACTTCTTTCTCCTATTCTTCCACTCTGTTACCACCCACAAGTGTACATTCTGGTTTCCTTCTCTTCTCGATTCACTGTGAATTGTTAATGGTCAGTCAGGCAGAAACGTTGTGCTAAGTTTCCGTCTCCTAAATGTGGGTTATTTGTGTAGAGTTCCATCCATTGTATTGTAACTTTTTATTCTTCAATAAAGTTGTGCATTGTGATACTTCAAGATTTTAGAATTGTGAATGATCAGTTATAATTATTGTTACCATTGCACAGTTCGTATACCTATTATTTCTACTGGAAATTCTTCTAAATTATTATTGTTACATGTTGATGTACATTTTTAACTCGATTTTTCTTCTTTAGGTAAATACATACCAACTTATCATTGTGACTGATATGCTGGACACATATGTACTTCTCCATTATGCTGATGGTGGAATACAGTGGCTTCAGGGAGACGGCAAAAATCCTAGCATAGCTGATGCTAGGGGTCAGGCAGGCCTCATCTCAGGAGACGGAAGGTTCCACATTCTCAAAGGTTCTGGTACAGATCAAGTTCGGAGCCTTGACAAGTACGTAACGATTTGTGTGTTGTATTAAAGAATACGAACATTTATTGAATACTTATCCATGGAGGGAATCTTCCTCTTCGTGGTATCGCACTATTGGTGCTTTGTTTTCAAGCATCATTTATAAAAACAGTTCCACTAGCCAGAGGGTTTGGCTTAGTTTGGCGAGAGTTTAGGCAAAGGTTAAATTTCAGTGGCTCTAAAGAAGGCAGACGTATATCTACAATAAAATGAGGGAACTAGAGAAATATAAAAATAAATATTCGTATGGCTATTTAAAAATCTTTGAGAGGGTGCACGGAAGGCATCGTAAGAGTTTTATGAAAATTCACTAGCTCCACAACCAAGTACATGTGTGCTAGTTGTAATAGACTTTGATAAGTTCCAGAGCATTTGTAAAAAAATGTAATCGTCGTGTATATAATTTTTTCAAAGGAATATGACAAATATGACCAAGAAGTGACAGTATATCAAATAAAACTAGTAGTTATAATAGGGAATGTAGTGAAATGGATGTTAAAAATTCTTATAATCTCATCCCAAACCGCTGTGATAAACCAAAATTTGTCCATTTTTATCAGAACATGAATTTTAGTACCATAAGGCACTTGTCCTGGCACTTTTACTGTTTCTCACTCACCATATTGTCCTTTGCAGATAATACCAAAATAAACAAGAAAATACAAAGATATCTTCAAAGGATTCCGTTAATCGAAGCGAAACTAATGTCATGTGCAAATACAACAGAATACATATGGAAAAACCACGATCTGAAAACGAGTACTGGATACAAAACGCAAATTAGACCAACTCAAAAAAAATGTTAACGAATTATTACATCAGATCTTGCGTTTAGCGAACAAAATAAGGCACACAATTATCAAAGGCTAGGAAAACTAATTGTATTTTGGTTGCTGTTCGATTCGAGGAAGGTATCTCTGTATTCCCTAATCGTAGTCCCTGGTGCCTCAATACACGCAATTAAAATAAAAGATCAACTTATGCTGCGGAGTGCATCGTGAGTTGATAATGCAGTAAACTGTTAGTGTCGAAAATCTGTAGGAACTCAGAAGCATTCATGTCATCATATGGAAGGTAATATCCAAATTTATTGAATTAAAATGTATGTAATATATACGTTCCAAGTCCAGTTCACTCCTTTGAAGAAACTAAAGAGACCAATTACCTATAATAATCAGTCTGAGTCTGAGTGTGGGTCACGAAGATTTTTAGAAACACTGTGAGTTACTGTTTAATGCATATAGTATACACCTGTTTTAGCAAGATAGGAGAATGAGTATTCTGTGCTTGTGGTCATTTGTGAGTGATGTGAGAGAAAGTGGCCTTCATTTTACGAGAAATATTGTATGTCCAAGAGTCGAGAGGAAACGTGAACATATACCCCTTCGGCTAGTGTTGAGAGACTACTCGATCTCTGATTCTAGGCTGTCCACACTCAAACATGGTACAGGCGTTGTGATGTACACAACTTTATACAAGAGACTACATATTACTCTATAAAGACTACTGTATAATTAACCATATGAGTAAAGTATTGATTGTTGAAAGTTTGGCAAGCGTACAGGCAAAATATATTACAGTCCCCCCTTTCTCCCTCATAACGTTTTCATCCCGTTTCTAAGCTCTCAGGACTGCATGGAAAATAACGGTAATAATGAATCCTACTGAACTGAAATGTGTGAAACATTTCTAATGGTGTTGTTGAGAAATGGCATTACCAGCTAAGTTTAAAGAGTTTGTACTTAACTTAGAAAGACAGCTCATCGCCTGCACAGCCGCCCCTGCAGACGAGGTCTTGAGAAGCTGTCGAAGTCATCTCTCAACGGGCTGTAAAGATTTATAATTTGTAAGATTATAAATTACCCCTAGGGGGTGTTATGTCAGCATATTTCATTCACTGATGGCTGACAAACTTACTTGTGTGGACTCAAAAGTCCGCACCTAACTGCCGACTATAGGTTGATTACAAACTCCTTGCGACTCAAAAACTGCGCAGTCCCCCGTACTACAAGAAATTCGTAACCTACCTTGCTCTTGTAGCATGAGCTATGGTGTTCTTCACACCTTCGACAGATATCGGTGACTTGATAGAAGCTGAAGTGTCCTTGGATGTCCACGTCTTCCATAGTCTAGGAATACGCACACTGGTACACTGTGTTCCACAAGATTTGTCTTTATTGTTCACAATCTTATCACTAAAGAAGCTGATCACACTTCTCTTAAGTGTTTATTGTGTTTTATGAGACACTTTGTTCACACTAACGCACAGATCGTTCTTTGTTGGTTATCCTGGCGTCAGTGTCACTCTCAGTAGAGTCAAAAGTAATCTGAAGACGCCACAGCGCCCCACGCCATTACTCCCCTAGCACAAAGCAAAAGCTAACCTAGTACTTTTGCTTCCTTGCCACTTCCTCGATGAAGCAAAGCAGAATGTTTGATTCTTGCTGTCTTAAGCATAGACAACAATGTCCACTATCTTTACTATGGTAATAAAGTGGGAGCAGGATTTTCCTTAATTGTCCTGCTAAGGTAAGAGATGTACTGTCTCTTATTAAAATATACTCTGCAACACTGGACTGCAAGGAGTAGTGGTCGCTTGACCACGTCGCATACTCGTACTGCATCTGCGATCAATTACTCACTGTAGCAGTAAACAAGACGCTTGCCCTTTCTGAGAGGGCTGGGCCCCTCAGGGCTGAAAGGGGCTGAAGGGGGCTGATACCCCCCTCCTGGAGAAAATTTCTCCACAGGTGTGATATGTGGTTGGATGCATTCATAATAGGCCATCAGAGCCTTAACAGAAATGGGAAACTGGCAATGTTTCTCTGTGAGAGAAAAATTAATTTGAAAGATGTCTTTAATTATATATTTTACTGTAAGCAAACAATATTCTTATATGCTTTAAGGTTTTCGGTTAGCTCTTATATATAAAATATGCATATAAAATAACCTGCTTTAAAAGTCAAATTCGAAAATGAAAGCTTTGTGACCTTCTAGATATTTTTTGCATTGTATTTTTCCTTAGATTTCGTAATATTCTTTTTAACATACTGTGGTAGGAGACGTGGGAAACCTATAACAACATAATTATTAATTTATGAAGGGAATGACCAGTAAGCCGGTGGAAGGCCTCGATCAAATGACTAAAAACTCCAATGGTGGGTCATCATATAACTAAGACTAGCGCCAGGAAACACTTATCCCGCTTCATGACGAATCTTACATAACCTGGAGAAAACCTATCATGATCACCCTAATCTGATCCATTTATTTCATTCATGTAATATTTTTCATATAATTCGCCAAGACGTTTCATGACAATATTTTTAATTTTGAGTTTTCATAATGTCATTACAGACTGAGCAACTGTGATAAACCAGGAGTCTGGATGTTCCGAGTAGGACAGTTAAGTTTAGAACAAAATGTCCAGTCTCCAGATATTGGTACTAGTGAAAGCAAAGGCCTAGGAAATGAACCCCAGTCCTGTGCTGTGGGAGGATCCATTTGCCATTCCAGCGCAGTCTGCACTGACTACTCACCTGGCTTTTGCTGTAGTTGTAAAGAAGAATATTTTGGCAACGGCATTAACTGTGTAGTTAAGGGTAAGAAATTTCTGTATTAAATGTCCATCACTAATACTGTGTTTGATAACTAAAAGTATATTGTGTGTTGATAGCGACAGAGATGTGGAAAAATACATTTATTTACATTTCAAGATATTTATGCAATGAAACGTAATGCGAAGAGTGGCTTCTTCAGTCCTGATAGATAGCTAAGAAACTACTGTTACTAACCTCTCGCAGCTTGTCACCTGACTCATGTCACTATATGAACTCGTTTCTTTGTGATCTCTGTAGAGTAGTCACTGGTGGCGAAATGTCTGTACTTAGCTCAAATGATGGGAATGCTTTAAGTGAACGAGTGTGTACGGTTGTTAACTTTCTCTCAAACGGAAATCCTGATCACACTCACACTTAAATTAAATTTCTTTCTCAAGAACAGAACCTGCAGTGGTCACTGGTTTCCTGATGACTATAAACGTGAGTTTTCCTATCAGTTCAGTCCTCTGGTCTGTTATGGTGCTCAGGGATTACCTTTCTTTGTCCTCAAAATGAGCCCAAACCTCTCTTTAGTCTAGACTCCTTTTCAATTTGCTTCAGGAGTTAAACTCAAGTACTGGATTTTCTCCACCTGGTAAAAACAGTTTGTAATATCCTATATCACCAGCCAGTCTTTCTACAACAAAAATAAAAACCTTCGTCACCAGGGGCAAGCTATGGATCTTTACACTATCGCTTCGGTGATCCCTGGACCTTATCTTTGATTGAGGAAACATCAAAATTTTCACAGCACTACAAATAAAAGTCGCCTTTCTAGTAAATTAACACGACACTCTGAGGTCAGCGTCAGTCTCCCTGATCACATTTCCTTATTCTAGAAAATGTTTTCGACTTACTTTTAATATTTGCATATTATTAGGAAGCAATGGCTGATACATTAATTTTTGTATGTACTGTTTATGAATATGTTTTGGGCTTATTTTTTTTTTTTTTTGAAAAAGATGAACGAAAATTATTGGTTACCATAGTCAATGTCTTGAGGAGAATGGTTAAATAATTAAAATATGTTATTGAAGACAATGGTATGTATAATACATGGTAATTCTACATAAAATTTTTAGACCAGCATTACTAATGTAAAGATAGATGGGCTTAAGAACATAAACAAAACTGAAATTTGTAGTAATAACTGATAAGGAAAGTCATATAGTGATGATTAAATTATATTAATATATTTTTCCAAAATCATTCGAATGCTTCATGGAAGCAACAGGTTATATTAATAAGTTTTTTTCTCCAAAGATAGACGATTGCTACAAATGGGGGTAAATAAAATCTGCAAGTTTTTTTGTTAAAGATTCTTGTTGATTATATTTTCACTACAATACCTCCTAGGGTACCAATCTTTATTTCCTGTATCTTTACATTTTCCTCCGTATTAATTCCGTTTTATCCCCTTCTTCGATTTTTTTATACAGGAGGGCCCCACTTATACAGCAGGATAAGTTTCAGGCTGCTGCTGTAAAGTGAAAATCGCTGTAAAGTGAAACATTGCTTTTTTTTCACTTTCAGACGCATATAAATGCCTGATAACCCATTTACACTATAATATATTAAGTGAGCAATAGAGCTAGGCTGTTGCTGGCAGGCAGCTGCCAGCAACAACCTGAGTGATCAGGAAGTCAACAGAAAGCCTGGGCTCAGGCCAGACATTGAGAATAGAACTTTCAAATCTAGCTGTGTGTAATGTAAGTTATCCACATATTGTTTCTTTCTGTAATAGCAAAGTATGCATACGGAATCATCTGACAGACATACCGGGGTATTAATTACAGACAAAATATTAGATATTTTAAAAGTTAATAATTACAGATTTATTTGGGAATATTTCTTATAGTTATCTATGTAATGGAATTCCTAATATTCCTTTATTTTATTTAAAAATCGGCATCATACAGAAATCAGGGAATAGGATATTTGTATATGAGGATGAATTTGTACTATATTGTTGATGGAGTTGAAAATAATATTATTTTCTTTTAATAAACTGCATAGGAAAAAATATTGTATATTTGTAGATGAACCGCTGCGTGTGATTGGAAAGGTTATTGGCAATATCAATGGTGTCGAGCTGGAAGACTCTGATCTTCATGCCTATGTGCTGACAGCAGAGGGTCGTAGCTACACAGCCATTTCAAGAATATCATCACAAATTGGCTACGATGTTCAAAGTATTACATCTCTTGGTTCTGGCATTGCCTGGCTCTTCGCAAAACCAATTGATATTTCCGCAAATGGGTTTTCTACTACAGGTATGTTTTAGGATCTTTGGATACTTTTTCCTTTATTCGTTTTCTTATTATCGTATAACCATGTTCCCATACTATTATATTTATGTATTTTAACATATAATCATATTTCCATATAACCAAATAGCATTACCATATAACCATATCGCTGTGTAATAATGGACTCTACCATAGTGTGTAATAACATTTCATATTTATACCATTGGTGTTTACGTGACTCAGATATTGGAAGTATGATCTTATGATTTAATTATTGAAAAGTTACTCACTGGTTATTATTGAAGTTCCAAAAAGCAGCGTGTTAACTGAGTAAAAAAATGTGTATCTGAATAATTCTTTTACGTGTGCTTCTCTGTGTGTAATTCGTGTATTTTTATAAGGTATTTATATGAATAGAAGCAGAGCAATGCCTATTGTGTCCAGTATTAAAAGAATCGTGTTTTTTTCATAAATCACAAGTGGCTGTAACACCTACTACCTCCTCTCGTAACCCCCCGTCCCTGTTCTACAACTCTTTGTGAGAAACTTTCTAATATAAATATGGCATCACTTCTGTCTTCATAAGTATGGCTTCTTCTTTTCCCTGTGAATGGTGTGGAAATTTTCCAAAAAATTTCTTTTCATATCCAATCATTCTCGGCAGGATTATTATGGCTCCTCGTATTAGCGAAATGTAACGTATATAATGTTGTCTACTTCTTTTTTGTAACCTATATTATTTAATTTCAGTAAGAAATGTTGTTCCTCTTGGCTGGAAAGAAATAATTTAGAACCAGAAATTATAAAACATGATAAACGCCCACTGTACTAGATAGTTTTGGACTGTTTAAACTTGATTCTTTTATAATTTAGGCTACTGTACATAGTCATAAGATGAACTCCTGTATGAATTCTGGAGAGAGTTGTTGCCTTGAATCTGCCTGGACTTCCTACTCATTTCTGCAACATTGCAAGCTCCTAATGATGTGTTGATTAAAACTTGAAAGGCCTAGAGCAATCATTCAACTCCCTTTGTGGTTACTTTCAGAAAATGAGGGAAAATAACTGGTCTCAATGAGCTACCTTTACGTTGAGGAAACTTATCCTCAATCCTGCTGTTGATGCTCTTGATGACACATAGACATGTGAAATATCTTGAGCTGAAGATTTCCATTTCCCTATGGCTTATCTTGCATTTATTTTGTATATATGCCGTGCCTAATATTCGTAATTGGTTAATTAGGCAGAACTCGCTTAAAAGTTGGGCTTTTCACTATAGTTTTTCTACAGATTGACAAGTAAAAAATTTTTTTTGAATGTGATGTAAAAAAATATATTTTTTATACGAAGCCTATCTTAAAATCCTCACTAGCCTAACCTAAAATAATTTATTTCGCCAAATTCTACAAAATATGTTAAAACAAGGGATGCCAAGCCAATGATGATCCATTTAAATTACTTGTTCTCTCTAGGCTGGAATACTGTTGTGTACTAACATCTCCATTCAAGGTGAAATCGCAGATCAGGAGAATGTACGGAGAACCTTTACTGCACATATAAGTTCTGTCGAACACCTTAATTACCGGGAACACTTGGAGTCACTTGATCTGCACTCAGTGGAGTGCAGGTGAGAGAGATTCATCATAATCTACACCTAGAAAATCCTAGAGGCAATGGTGCCAAATCTGTACGCAGAAGTCACTCCCTACAATAGTAAAAGACTGGGCAGACAGTGCAACATAGCCCCAACGAAAAGTAGGAGCGCCATTAGTGCACTAAGAGAAAACACAATAAGTGTCCAGGGCCCAAGACTGTGTGGCCAGCAGTAACAGCCTGATTGATTAGGCCCTGATCCACCAAGTCAATTATTATTATTATTATTATTATTATTATTATTATTATTATCAAAGAAAAGCGCTAAACCACAAGGACTATACAGCGCTGCAGGGCAGGAAGGAAGCAGGGGTATCAGGTGGCAAAAGGGAGAAGGATAATTAGTAGGTTATGGAGAACAGCGAGGCAGTGGATAGTGCAGGGGTGGAGGGTAGCAAAAGATTGAGGTAGAATGGGCTGAGGGGAGTGCAAAAGGTATCATCATCAGAGTTTGTGGAGTAAGTCAGTTGTTGTCAAGAAGCCAATGAGAGAGTCAGGATTAAAGGAGGGTCCATCAGCAAGAAGGGAAGGTAAAGAGAGAGTAGTAGAGCACATACGATGTTGGAGGTAAATTCTGCATGCTCGTTGATAGAGAGGGCAGTCTAACAGACTGTGGCTAACCGATACTGGAACATGACACGTCTCACAGAGAGGAACAGGGTACCTCTCCATGAGATACCCATGAGTAAGACGAGTGTGGCCAATGCAAAGTTGGGAGAGAGTAGTCTCCCAACCTCAACACTGGTGACAAGAAGACGGCCAGTAACCTATACTCGGCTTAATAGAATGAAGTTTGTTACTGAGTAGATTAGACCAACGTTGTTGCCAACGGGTGTGAAGGTGGGTACCTATTACAGCAAAATAGTCTGTAAATGGAACACCTCTATATGAAACTGGTAGGTCATGTACTGCTGACCGCGCAGCAGTGTCTGCCTGTTCATTGCCCTGTACGTCAACATGACCAGGGACCCAACAAAAAACAATATCTTTATGTTTGGTAGAGATACAGCATAGTCAAAGTTGGATACGGAGGACTAGGGGGTGAGGTGCATCAAATTTTCGTATAGCCTGAAGAGCACTAAGGGAGTCTGAGACAACCACAAATGATGACACAGGCATAGATGCAATACGGAGAAGTGCTGCAAGAATAGCATACAATTCAGTAGTAAATGTCCTCGCACGACACTGTCCGGAAACACTGCTGCGAAATCATTTATAGCAAGGAGAAAAAGTGTTGTGCTCAGAACACATCCCTGGGGGACACCCTCAGCTTGGACAAAGTCCGGGGAGAGCACCTTATTAACCTGAACACAGAAATGTCTGTCACTTAAAAAGTTTTAAAGGAAGGATGGTAGATTGCCTCGGAGGCCTAAGAAGTGGGCTTGGGCCAAAATATTATACCTCCAAGTTGTATCATATGCCTTCTCAAGGTCAAAAAATATGGCAACAACTGAGTGGTTATTCGCGAAGGCATTACGAACATACGTATCCAAGTGTAGTAAAGGGTCTATGGTAGAACGGCCCTTATGAAAGCCATATTGACTAGTGGAGAGACTGTTGTGTGTCTCTAAATACCACATTAAATGTCGATTTACCAGACGTTCCATCGCTTTGCAAAATGCACTGGTAAGAGCAATGGGACGATAGTGGAAGGCATCATGTCCCGTAGTACCCGGTTTGGGGAAAAGGAGAACAATGGCAGATTTCGACAGCTGGGGTAGAACTCTTTGTGACCAAATAAGATTGAAGAGGTGTAAGAGGACTACAAGGGCTGATTGATGTAAATGTTGTAACATCCGAATATGAATGTCGTCAGGCCCAGCTGCCGATGATCGGCAAGCTGAGAGTGTCGCCTCCAGTTCCTGAAGTGTAAAATGCACATTATACGGTTCTTCAGTGAGAGAAGAAAAGTCCAAGGATGCTAACTCTCTGGCAGACTTTGAGGAAAGAAACGAGGGCATAGATGGAGCCACTGAGAAATACGAACCAGATGATTGCCAGTTTCAATGGCAACGTCAAGAGGGTTTTCTATATCAACACCGGCAACCTTCAGAACAGGAGCCGGGTCAGGAGAGTATTTACCACTCAGTTTCTGTACTTTTTTCCAGACTGTACTCACAGAGGAAGCCGAGGTGATGGTGGAAACATAATCTCGCCAGCAGGTGCATTTAGCGTCACGGATGACACGGCGAGCAACCGCTCGCTTCTGCTTAAAATCAAGAAGTCTCTCTGTGGTTCTATTGTACTGATACCTGCCCCGTGCATCGCGTTTCAAATGTACTGCCCGAGCACAAGCAGGAGACCACCATGGCACACACTTCTGAGAATGCCTGCCTGAACTTTGGGGGATGGAATGAGAAGCTGTGGTTAAAACTGATGTCGAGAAGAGGTGTAAAAGTTCATCAATGGAGGATGAAGAAGGAACCTCACTAAAAGAAGATAGCTACGAGTAAAGGTCCCAGTTTGCTCTATCAAATTGCCAGCGAGGGCTACGAAGAGGTGGTGAATATGAAGGAGAAGTAAGAATGATTGGAAAGTGATCACTGTCATGTCAGTCCAGTAGAACAGACCAGGCAAAGTCTAGTGCAGTGGAGGAAGAGCAGACCGAGAGATCGATGCAAGAGAGAGTATGAGTACGAGGATCAAAATGGGTGGGAGTACCCGTATTTAAGACATGGAGGGGATGAGAAGCGAGAAAAGTCTCCAATTGAATGCCACGTGAGTCACAATGAGACCCCCCCAGAGGAAATGGTGGGCATTAAAATCGCCAAGTAGCAGAAGTGGTGGCAGTAAGGATGAAACAAGAAAGGCAAAATCTGAGATAGATAATGCCCGAGAAAGGAAAAGATACAAAGACCATATTGTAAACCACTTATTCAAGTGGATACGGGCTGCAGTGTAATGCAGTGAGGTATGAACAAATAGTTGATGGTATAGAATATCATTGCGTAGGAGAAGGGCACTTTCATTAAAGGTCCCATCTGAAAAAGGATCGAAGAATGCAATAAATTATAGCCTGAGATGGGTTGGAAAACAGCTGAGTGTAATTTTGGCTCTTGTAAGCAAACACCAACAGAGGAAAACCGGGAAAGCAACATCTGAAGCTCATCCCAATTACCCCTGAGGCTGTGGATATTCCACTGTAAATAGGCCATGATTGGCAACGAGGAAAATACCAGGAATTCGCAGGTAAGGGCACCCATGGACTAGAGGGGTTAGAAAAGTCTACATGCGGTGGCATCGGAAAATGTTCAAGCAGCGAAGGAACGGAGTGTTGCGAAGAATGGGGATGTGTAGATGGAGGAGAGGGAAGAGAAGGAACAGGAGGTGAATCAGTGTCCATTGAAGGTTTAGTCACTGCAATATATTCTGAAATAGATTCAAGTATTTCTGAATTAAAAGATGTTGTATGGGAGACAATATTGGAGATAGAAGGAGGAAGGTGAGTAAAGATTGGGAAAGTAATGGACTATACTAAAGTAGGGGCGGACAAAAGCATGTTGGGAACTGGAGAAGAAGTGTGGGAGGGGACAAAAGAAGCAGAAACCTGGGAGGCAGCAGAAGAGGGAGAAACTTGGGAGGGGACAGGGGAGGAAGGCACAGAACGAGGAGGAGGGTGAACCTCGACACTTGTAATAGAGCCAGTGAGAGGGGAAGAACCAGGTACAGAGATTGGAAAAGTAAAATGTGAAGGTGGAAGAAGGGAAGGAGGGTGCCAAGAAGATTTGAGCAAAGTGGATTTTTTGGACTTCTGAGAAGTAGAAGGGCGATTGGTAGAAGGTGTCGTACGGGGTCTTGTCAATACCGGGGCTTGTGAAGGAGAACTCAGAGATATCAGAACAGACTATGTGTCAAAGTAGGGACGTCTGAGCCCTGGACAGCAAAAGAATTAGATACAGGAGTGACTATTGGAGGGGTAACCACAGAGGAGGCTGCAGAAGATGAACCCCAGTGGGGGAACATTTTGAAACACGAGTATAAGAAACACGGGGTAGTCTCCCTTGGAGGCGGAGATGAGAAACTGCCATAGCATAAGGGAGACCTTCTGCCTCTTTGAGGCATTGGATTTCACGCTCATTTAAGTAGACCCTGGCAACGGCGAGAGTACGAAGGGTGAGCTTCATGACAATTAAAACAAGAGGGAGGTCGACTGAAAGTCATATTAGAATGGTCATCGGCACCACAGACTGGGCATTCGGCTATAGATCTGCAATATTTTGCTGGGTGACCAAAGCGCCAGCAATTTCTACACTGTTGTTGTGTAGGGATCACCTTTCAAACTTGTAACCGATGTTCTGCTACATAAACAGGAGACGGGAATTCACGGCTGTCAAAAGTTAATCAAGCCACATTGCAAGGGTATCGTTTCTGCCCACGGGCAGGAAGGATATAAGTGTCTACCTCGAGGATTGGGAAATCTTGGAGTTCCAGCTGTTCAAGAATGTCATTGCCACATGTCTGAAAAATCTGTTGGACTATGGAATGGGGCATTATGACAGTACCACTACAAGAATTGAAGGAATGACATTTTTCGATAGTGACAGGAATAGTATCGATATGTGAAAGAAAGAAAGATCATGAGCTTGGGTAGCATTCTGGACAGTGATGATGCGCATACTGCTCTTCAGAGCATGAAAGGAAATATCTCTACTGACATGGCAGAGGAGCGCCTTGCTAATACTATGGTCAGAAACATAGGCAGTAGAGGAAGTCGGTCGTAAAGAATTTAGTCCATTGTGCATTCCGAAACTGAGCATGGAAAGGGAGTGCTTGACGTGTTGATTTTTTCTGAGAAGAACGAGGTGGTGGTGAAGTATCATCATCAGGCAATCGTCGTTGGGGTTTAGGAGTGAGACCAGAGTTGGTCCGATGTGAGACGGGCTGGCGATTCGAAAATTGCCGCACCATAGAGGGAGAGGCCGGAAGCATAGTCAATGGAGAGGGGAGGTCAGATAAATTGAAGGAGTCAATCGAAACCTCGATACCTAAAGTGGGTGAGGAAACAGCACCAACAAGAGGTACAGGGGCATCAGGAGTGTCCGAGGAGTGGTCAAAAAATGAGGCAGGGTCAGAAAGGGGTGCGGTATCAAGAAGGGCCCTGGGGGTAGTAGGTGCATGAATTGGGTTCTCCATGGTTAGCTTACTTCTTTTCTTTTCATTTTTAAGAAAAAAAAGAAGAAAATAAAATAAAAATAAAAAAAAGAATAAAAAAAGGGGGGAGCAGGGAGGAATAGTTCCTAGGAGGAATGAAAGAGCTGGAAATCTCCCTCTGTGCCCAAGAGGACCTCAGCACTGCAAGTAGCGCAGATGCAGCATGGAACCCGTGCCATACCCTACCCTTCACGCCAGTAAACGAGCAATCCGGGATAGCAACCACACATCTGCCGAGCTACCTCGGTGGACAAAAGAGAGGGCGGCCGGATATCCGCCACAAAGCATACCTCCTTCGGCCACCAGCCCCAGAATGCAAAAGGCGGCTTCCAGAGATCAGAGATACACCCGTCGCCCAAAAGACACCCAAAGCCACCCTCCAGGATACTGGAGAGGGATCGGGACCTCCCCAGGCAATCCAGATTCCACGACTAACTACGCCACCGCCAAGAACCTCAACGGAATGGGATGGACCCCGGTACCCTTCCCCCTACCTAGAAACCAGCATGCCTGTGGGAGGAATCCTGCAGGCAAAAAAGAGGAAGGGAATAAGGGAGGGACGGGGAGGAGGAGGAGGAAAGGGAAAAGGTAGGGTGGGGAGGATGGGATAGGGAAGGGGGAATTGGGGGGTAATTAGGTTTGGTATGAGGAAGGAGACCAACAGGTCTAATTCCTCAGACCAAGAACCTCTTCACTGCGCCAAGGAGCCCCCCCCCCCTTGAAGAGGTCCACCAAGTCATGGACTGAGCTGCGGGGGCGTTGACCAACGAAACATTCTCTAGGTAGACTCCAGTTACGTCTGTTTAAGTTTATTTAACATTTGTTAAAATGTATGATGCATATTTTTTCATTATGTTCTGATTGATTTTTCTCAAATTTATTCCATAAACTAAATTTCAGTCTGCTTATTTAGCAGAAATGACCCTTGCTTCTTAAGCCAAACTCGTCGATTCAGCTGTACAATTGAGCTACAAGGCTTACAACTTCATGGTTTTACAGACTGCACTTTCTGTGACTAGTTTCTGACAGTCACCACCAGTCACCCTACTGCCCATTCCCTCAGCACCAGAAGCATTCATAGTACATTTGTTTTTATTCTTTTAAGCTAGTATAGTCTAGGAACTCCTGATAAATCACACTGAACGACAGTCATTGGATAAATAGAAGAATGGAAGGCAACTCGAACTGATTTTGTGACAATTAGCAGGCCTAGAGCTGTCTCACTTAGGTACGAGGCATACAATAGGAAGGGTTCAATGACTGCACTTTCTCTGACAGAATTGTATGAACAACCATCAGCTATGACTCTACACTTCAAGTCGAGATCCATTCAAATGTCTGTAGGATTTTGTGTGCAAAGTATATACCTGACAATCTCTGTTAATTAATGTCATCCTTGCCATCTAGAGCCCACCAGCCTCTCCACGTGAACACTTCTGGTGAACTCTTCCTCCACAGGTGGCTGTCAATATTACACCTAGTTGTTTACTTATCAATATGATGTCCTTGATAGCACCTGGTTCATTACCAGGCTGAATGATCCAGAATAAATGGTTATTGAATGTAGCTTGGGCTGGCACAACGGTAGCACAGCAAGTGGAAAATAACATTTGGCCAGCTCTATATATTATTCATTTCACCTTATAATAACCCTATATCAGTCAGGTCCCTACCTACCTTGCACAAGATTATTATGGAAAATTAAAATTACCTGGATGAACTTCATTAGATAAATACCAGTAATTTAATAAAAGTAACAAAGATAATTATTTCTTACCAATTGTTACAACTCTGTGGTACGTAGAATATTTTGAGAGACCTAGGTCACCAGAGAATGTCTCCCTTCGAACTACTACCCTCATACAATCCCACAAGTCACTCTGGACCTATATTAATTTCAATGAAATAAATATCACCAGTAATTCTGGTAAACTATTAATATAAATTATATGGACTGTATGTTCAATTGAGTTAATGAATATATATACATTTATATATCAGAAGGAGAATTTATATTAATAACACTCACCAATTTGTCTGGAAATTACTTGGTGTGTCATACGCAACCCCCTGCCTAAAATATGAAGAAACTAGTGGCCAGAAATTTCAAAATATAAAGACATTACTTATCTGGTGGATGGTGTACTTATTATCTCTTTTCCCATCTAATTTCAGTCCTGTCCAATTGTTGGTTTCTCACATTCTGCAGGACTGTACCTACAACAATTTCTGCTCCTATCTGAGAGGTTGTAAACACAGTTTAACTTCCAGAGGGACGGAAATTCTTCCGATTTTCACTAACATCTGTCTTGTGCAGTTCAGAACATCGCCTCTTCCCCCTCCAAGTGATGCTAACGCTATCGCTGGTTCCTTTTTTATTTACGAATTAATTTTTATTAACTACAATATATTTCACTAATTTACATACAAAATACACTGTATTTTTGGGAAATGTACAGTATTTTCCACAATTATTAAGCCCAATCTCTTAGTGAACAAAGTAAGGAGAGAACTTTTACCTCGCTCCTAAGAAGTATAAATTCTTCCTGAGGGTTTGGTGGTCTTCGAATCTTGGAGAGGTCAGATAAAGATGCTGAGACGAATCAAATTATGTGAGAGGCCTTGTGGAGTTCAGTCACTTCAGCCCACCCAGGCTGAAAAGAGATAAGCAAGTTACGTAAGTAGATTGTAGAGGCATATGCAAATCCTGGTCCTTCTGATCCTAGATACAGCGTGACTACCCTCACTGCTGCACCCTGAATATCCTGGAAAAGAAACATTGCATTGCACGAGACAGACACTACACCATGCCGTTACAGAGACAGGAATGTTAGGAAGGCACGAAGGAAATAACAGTGGGAAATAACAATGGTTGACAGTCCCTGGCAAAAGAGATGAATCCTATTCTGAGTAATGAAGAAGGTGAAAGTACTTTTAGATATTACTATACCTTCTGGTGTTAAGGAAGTCAAGCCCCCACAGCTGAGGGCTTGACGCAAAATTCTTGGGTTAAGTCTTGGGCTTTCAGAGTATCATTATGTCAAACAATGTAATACTTGTTTTTCTCCAGATAAGAATGAGTCTTAAATAATGTATAGAACATTATTTCTTATTTTCATAGGTGGCGTACTGAATCGTACCGCGGAGGTGGATTTTCCCCAGACAGGTCACCATGTTGTTATCCAGCAACATTTTGAAGTAAGTGAAATTAAGACAGTTGTAATGAGATCAGAAATCAAGATTTTGAGTTATCAAAATTTTTAGTTATCCATTCCAATTTTCTTAAACGTCTCAAGCCTTTCTGTGTGTTTTACTGCTCATCGCAAAAAATATTTTAATGTGGCATAATAATGTGTGTGTATATATATATATATATATATATATATATATATATATATAATATATATATATATATATATATATCAATAGCTACACTGCGACTAGCCGGAGGATCGAACCCGTGTTGTTTTAGTCCACCTCATGGTGAACGAAAATTTCACGATGCTCTAACCCACGGAACCATACAATCCTACAAAGATCACGCACCCAACAGAGCTAGGTGTTGTACCATGATCCGAGGACATGGATTGGGTGCCTCAGAGCTAATTTCATTCTACTCCCCCGTTTGGTGTACTAGCCTCCACAAGCAGTATATATAGCATTGTAACCACGAACGAGTGCAAAACATCCACAGTGAAATCAGCGAATTTCCAAGAGCATTCGAGATTTCCCACATTATCAAGGAACTGTAAAATTAAAGATAATCAGAAAGCATATTTAGGGTGAGATTACACCTCCCGATTAACATTCTACACCTGAACCTGTTTCATGATGCGGGAGAGGTGGTCAAGGACCTGTCAGACATATGTTCTACCAAAGCTTTAAGATTTTAACTTGTCTAATATGTCTTAAATTCTTCCCAAATTTGATTAATAATAAATTAATGTAATTTGTATAATCCTAAACCAATACTACTCTATTAATTTCAAAACTATTTTTTATGAAACATGTTTCTGTTATATTTCTCTCAACCATGGACTTACTTGAAACAACTTTCTCACCCTTTTGAAAATCAATAGGATGTTTAAAATCTCTTACTTGCATAAACAAAGCATTAGACTCTTGTCCACTTTTAATGTTTATATTTACGTTGTTGTATTCTTAGCTTGAACGTAATAAACTCTGTCACATTTTAGGCAAAATATTCGGCATTTCTTGATTAATTTTTAATCAAAATTTTTTTTCTGTATCGGGATTTTTATATACAACTTTGTTTTTAAAATTCTTAAGTAGAGAAGGTATATTAATAAAGTTTTCATGGAAAGGGAGAATCAACTTTTTTGAGTTAAATGAGACTGTCCTATTTGTTATGTAAAAGTATTTATAGCAATTTTAAAAGATTATCAGTTAAGTATTTTAGGAATTTTAGATGATTAGCTATTTCATAAATCTTCAAAATTTCTTCATCTTTGAACTCTGGGTTGCAAAGCTCTCAAAAACAATAATGAGAATGCATAAAGTTTACTCTATCATAATATGAAGAATAATAGTGTACAGAAAAACGGTTATATATTGTTTTTTGTAAATTTTGAATATATGTTCATGGTTCTCCTTAATAATTAATACATTAAGAAAAGGCAGAGAGTTATTTTGTTCAAGAATCATCGGCATATCTGTACCACTTAGCTCTATTGGGAACGATCTTGTTAAGTAATCTTGTTTCAAAATATTCCATATTCCATGTACATGGAATATATTGAAAGAAGACTCCTTAACAAAATCCTTCTCATTAGAGCTAAGTGATGCAGATATGTTGATGACATTTTATATCTAATGTCTAACAATACAGATATAAACCATTTCCTTGCCAAATTAAGAGTCTAGCTCATTCCGTGAATTTTTTTGTTGCGTTTGATCAAAACTCATTGTCTCTTCTAGATGTATTAATTATTAACGAGCACCTTGACTTTAAACATTAAATTTTGTGTCGTGGATTGGAGTTCTGGTGTTGGAGGTACAGTGCCTGTGCTCTGAAGATATGTTGCAGTTTTTCTTAACTGTAGTGTCAGCACGCCTTTGGAAAGACATTGATGGAGTGAGTGATGATGAAAGTGTTTCTTTTTTTTAGGGGGGGGGGGGGAGTCACCTTGCTTTGGTAGGAATCGGTCGATGTGTTATTAAAAACAAATAATATGCGGCGAAATCACAATAATTTATGCTGTGCTGCCAGATTGTCAAATAATTTTGAAAAGATATCATATAAGTGTAAAATTTATAAATAAATATTGATGCTAATGAATGTGTTTCAACTAGGCCTCCATCCTAGTCTTTCAACACGTACCTTCATTCAGAAACGTTGACTTTGTTCTTCATGGGCACCTAGAATCCTTCCTCTAGACTCCAAAATTCCCTCTTAGTACCAATCTTAGACTATTAGTCCCCTTTCTAGATTCTCTCCTATATACCTAACACAATGTAATTGGTCTTGACACAATGTTTTGTGTTCACTGCAACCAAACCTCGCAGAGTTTTAAAAATTATATTTTCCCACAGGGCCTTGACGTTTTCAACAACATTCAAGTCAAAACTCAGATCACTGGATCGGTACCAACAGTTCCTCTAGGTTCAAAGATAGAGATGGATGCCTTCAGTGAAGAATACACCAGAGTCAAACCAGGTATGCATGTAAACAAAATTATGTGGAAAAATGCAAGAGAGGAAACTTTTAAAAGCAGTATAGTGAAGTCCTGATTATTGGATGAGAATTAGACCATAACGCTTGTGTTTATCTGAAAAAAGTAGTCAGAGCATATATAAGTGTGACTCTTCTATGAGCCACTCTATGAGGTAATTATTGAGTAATTAAGGATAAAAATGATAAATGATTAACAATTCATCACGAATGACGGTGACTTTACTGTGGGCCACTCTGTGAGGTAAATAACTGAATAATTAAATATAAACAAATAAGTTACTGACAGTTCTCCTACAGGAATGCTGGGCAGGACAGAGGTAAAGAGAAACAAAGCAAATTAATCCATTAAAGTACTTCTCACGACATTGCTTCACTTTATTTTGGTTGGAGGATTTGAGTCTCCTGGGAGCGTATCAAAAACCTTGCAAGTTACTTCTCAGCCTTAATAGTGGGAAAATTTTCTCGTTTGTCAATATTTGCTGTCTCATATTCTGTGACTTGTAAAAAAAGTATATATATATATATGGTTTTGGACATTATAAATGAACTTAGAATTTGTGCTGTCACTTAAAAAAAAACATGTACAGCATATGGGCATATTTACCTGAGAGATATATTGTCCACCAAGACATTATCAGATGTTGCTCATGTGTTTTATTCATGAGGTTGTCGGAACAAGAGAAACTGAGAGTCGACGAGGGTTTACTCTCAATTTCCCTGGTTCCAATCTTGGTGGTATGCTATGATAAGTAACCAAAAGGAAAAATTGTTAGATGGATCTATAACCTCCTAAGAAACAGAACACAAAGAGTAATAGTAAACAGAGTAAAGTCAGATGCAGTTACAGTGAACAGCTCTGTTCCACAAGGTACAGTACTCACTCCCATCCTTTTCTCATCCTCATATCTGACATAGACAGAGATGTCAGCCACAGCACCGTGTCCTCCTTTGCTGACTTTGCAGAATTTACATGACAGTGTCATCTACTGAGGACACTGCAAATCTCCAAGTGGACATTAACCAGAAAATAATACGAAGTTCAATGGAAAACTCGAGGAAATAATCGGATCGGAATATAAAACAAATTCAAACCAATCAGTGCATAGAAAAACTAATATGAAGGACACGGGAGAGATAATGTCATAGAACCTCACTTTCAAAGATCACAACAATGTCTCTATCACATCCGTTAGGAAAATGATAGGATGGTTATTGAAAACCTTCAGAAATAGGGATGCAAAGCCAATGATGATTCTCCTCGAATCGCTTGTTCTCTCAGGCTACAGTACGGTTGTACACAAACGGCCCCTTTCAAGGCAGGCGAAATTGCAGACCTGGATAATATACAGAGAAATCTCACTGCACGTATAAGTACAGTAAAGCACCTAAATTACTCGAAATGGTTGAAGTTCCTTGACCTGTACCCCTGGAACGCAGGCCAGATAGATACATCATGCCTCCAATGATAAGCAGGGTTCCATGAGTACACTAAGGGATAATACAATAAGTGTCAAGGGCCCAAGACTGTTCAATTGCCTCCCATAATGCATAATGAAGATTACCAATAGACCATTGGCTGTGGTTCCTACAGTGGTATGCATGCAACTGGTAGTAACAGCCTGGTTGATCAGGCCTTCATCCACTGTGAGGTCTGGTCTTGGGCCGGGCCGTGGGTGGCGTTTCTCCCCGGAACACCCTCCAGGTATACTCCAGGTAATAGAAAATCCATTCGGTTAAAGCTGTATAAGGATACTATTAGGGTACAGACACACAAGTTTAGGTGATTGCAAGCAGTGATTACTACTTGGTGACAACAACTAGTTTTAGGTAGTTATAATCCAAGGGGGCTAGACGGGGTGATCTATCACCTCGGGGTTCCTATCTATCACCTCAGGGGTTCCTAGAATTTCTCGAAATAAATTAGTGCAGGTGATTGCATCTTTCATACATGCAGGTGACTGCAACTATCACACATAGCAACATACACGAGTCGCCCAGGATAACCCAAGAATGTCAGGGAAGGGGCTTGTCGTCACGAGTGTCCTAGTAACTTGAAACAATCAGGGTTACTAGAATATCTAGAACCACATGTGAATTACATTAGGCCTGGTCATGGACCGGGCAGTGGGGTGTTGGTCCCCGGAATACCCTCCAGGTAATCCTACTCAGCATAGACTTGTACAAACAAGTGTTTATGTTGAGTAGGGTTGGTTAATATGATAGGGAGGTCCCGAAATAATACGAATATTAAGGAAAAAATCATGAATTATGTGATAAGGAAAACAGAATACTAAGGAAGATTCAGGAATACTCATGATTTTATGTGGAATATTCAGCATACCAAGGAATAATTATAACAATTGATATTTAGGATTTCTGTAGGGTTCATTTAGGAATGTATATAGGGATTACTCTTGCCACGATCTAGGTTTTAGAACCTTCCAGGGCGTACGATACTTTAAGCTGACAATGAACAAATTCGATTCTATTTTTTAATACAACTGTTTACATATATCAATGCTTGTAGGTGTATTATTCACTTGGGCGCTTGATTAGATGTGATTAGAGGCAACTTAGGATTGGCTAATATTGGAACAATTGGTATGTTCACATGCCCTGTGACCAAAGCATCTTAGAATGGCTCTAATAAATTCTAAAGCCTTCACTGCCGTAGCTTCATACTTTTTTAAAAGTGTCAAGAAATTCGACAGTGGCAGAAAGCTTCTGTAAGTACATATTTCATTATTTTATGTGTAAAAAAAATAAGAAATTTTTCGTTCTGTTAAATCACGTTAAATATTTTTTAATTTGCCTCTTAAGGCCAAAATAGTATCTGTAAAAGTTCGTTTCTGTGCAGGTGTATTTGTTGAAGCGGTAAACAGAAGAAAAACTTGGAATCTTAGGATCCTTGTCATAAGTGGAGAAGGACTAATCTCATCAGTTTCAAATTTTCGCCACTGGTGTGGCTATGTGGACACAAGGCTCGTGTTGCTATTGGGTGGCATGAGTCCCAATTTATAATTTTTTTGAATAAGTAGTGATATTTATTTTTTAGTCAATAATTAAAGAATGCCTTTGAATGGCTATAAAATAGTACTGATGATGCGTTCTGTAAAGAGGACAACATCCTCTAAATTTTGTCCGAGTAGAAGCAAATTCGAAATGTTACTAAAATTATTATAAAACTTGGAATCATTGGAATCACGTAAATTACTGGACAATGCGTTTTTGATTGGCTTCAAACTTTTACCAATGGTGGGGTTTAATGAACACAGTTTGTCACTCACTTTAAAATGCGCAAATTGTAATTTGTCAGTTTTAGTAAGCAAATTGTTCCTCATGTAATACCTAGACATTGCCTCTTCTGATGACCTTAACCCCTAAATACTGGAGCATGTTTTAATTTATGGTCTGTGTTGGTGCCAGTTGGCCATTTTTTGCAATATAGCAAATTTGATTTAAAATAAAATCTAATATGTTTTTACTTACAGGATTGTACACTATTTTAAATGAACCTTAAATAACCGCATATTTAATGCTAAAAATGCGCCAGAATCCTATTTTTCGGAATATTCTCAAGAACATTTTCGTTTTCTTTCTTACTAATTTTCTTTTATAATTCAGATTCGCCTTATTCGATCGGCTTCAAATTTTCAATGTGTGTGTAAGGTATCTCGAAAAAGATTCATGGGACTATTTACAGGCGTGGGTGCCTTATGCTCAATGCTACTTAGTCATTTCCTAATGCTGTTTCTCTCTGGTTAGTATAGACTGGCTTCTCTTATCGGCTTCAGAATTTCAACACTCGTTTATCCTTCTTAAAGGAAGATTGATATATTTAATGGAGTATGCCAGGGAACTGGGGTTACAGAATACTTGGATATCTTTCTCGGATCGCCCATTAACCGAGATGCATCTAGTTAAGTGGTTAGTGGGGCTCGTAGGTGAGGTGACAAGAGATGAACAGGGTGAGAACTGTGGCTGGATGCTGAACACCATTTAACCGAGAAAAATCCATAACTACTAATAACACTCACTTCACGCGCATTTTCGCTGGGAAGCACACACACAATGACGACGAAAATATAACGAGACTTATCACCAAAGGAATGATTAAATCCCAGGTAATTGGAGGTAGCTCCAGTTCCTTGGATCAAGAAAACTTCGTCAACATCAGCAGCATCAGGACAATCCTCCCTTCCCTTAAAGGGAAATCTATACATTATTGTGTTGTATTGAGGAATGTTCATTTCTTCAGGAACCTTTCCATTTTACTGAACATTGTCTCATTGAACATTACAGGTCAGCAGAGGGCACGATCTAGCCGAGTATTCCGTCTTAAGGGACAAAACATTGACACACCTTTCTCTGTTGAGACCACCATTGACTATGATGAATGTATTTGGAAGGTTCGGGGTCCGGATGAGCAAAATACACTTAGATTAAAGGTAATTATTTTCGTATTTCTGTTCTTCAGTTTTTATTTCATATCAAATTCTTACATTAATATTGGCTTCTTAATTTTTTATATATTGTTTCATCCTCTGTTTTTTCTTTTAATTTACTAATTTATATTTTTAGTATATTCTTATTTTTATTGTTTATCTTTCCATTTATCATTTACTTTCATATGAATGCATTGTCTTTTAGTTCTATCTTCTACTTAATCCATTTACGTATGTAAACTTTCCTAGTTAATTTTTAATCCATTTCACTCTACAGTGTTTCTTCACTGCAAACATGTGAATATAACTTGTATCATAAATAAACTTACTGCAGAACACATTTCAACACAGGTTTCCAGTATCCCATTGAAATATATTAATGTTTTATAGTACAGTATAGTATTTTACAAATCTAAAAATAATTATGAGTAAAATACCCTTCCTCCTTTTAGGGATGGCCTAGTTGGATATTCGTAATCTTGGTAAGTAAGACAGATAGGCAACAGTTAGGCAGCTCCACTCCGAAACGCTTCGCCCACACAGCAGGCCTCTTCGGTCGAATACAGAAAGTAGGCAGGAACAGCAGAGATAAGAAGACGATGTAATCAGTCCATCACCCTTGAAGTCGTAGTTCCTGACTATGGAACTGAACTTCTCCAGGGTGATGGACTGATTACATCGTCTTCATATCTCTGCTGTTCCTGCCTACTTTCTGTATTCGACTGAAGAGGCCTGCTGTGTGGGCGAAGCGTTTCGGAGTGGAGCTGCCTAACTGTTGCCTATGTGTCTTACTTACCAACCTGTCGGTATTGTATACCATTTTGATATTCATTCGTAATCTTAAATGAAATCCCAGCTGGACATCCGTAATCTTAAGGGAAATCCCAGTTACATATCCTTGTTCACACTTAGTATGTCTGTATTTGCCGCAAAGTGATATCTGACGAATATGGTCTAAACTGTACTAGTTCTAATGGATGGCATGGTAGACAAAAGTTACTCCATATCATTACATAACCTGTTATAGACGAGAGTACTCAGCCGAAAGCGTGTCTCGATTTTCATAATCCAGCAACCAAGATACCTTTGTCAACTATGGGAAATCAAGGGACTAGGTGATTTCCCGCACCATTAGACATCCATAAATGGGGGTAAAGGATGGGGGACAAGCCGTTTACCCATATAATGCTTATGTCCGGGTTCCACATTTCCCTTTCCACTCTTAATTTATATGTCTAAGCTAGTAATGAAGCCTCCAAAGGCTAATATGTATTATACACTACTACTGATAAGTGTTTAAGCTAATGTAGAGTTAAACATCAAGCCGTTTAGTTTAGTATCTACATCACCTCTCATGGTCTATACAAATTGACAACCGACCTGTATTTGTGCCGGTGACCAAGCACTCCAACCCACCCAGCCTCAGTCACAAAAAAAAAAAAAAACATAGCAAGTGAGCAGGCAAATGCACGAAACTCTACCTTACTCTGCTGATTTATTAAGAACCTAGTTAATTAGGACGACTTATCCTGAAACCGGCCTTTCTGGAGTGAAGTACATCGAAGTATTAGATAACACATTACAATGTAAATTAGATACATTTCATGGCAATAAACGTCTCCCTCGCTGTTAACAAGGAGTTGCAAACCAGTGACTCAAATACAAGCATGTCAGGTGTCTCGACGGAGGTACCAAAGACTCCTACGCCTCCACGAGTAGGTACTCATGGTATCATTAAGTGTGCATTTCTTGTACTATTGGTGCTGAACAGTGTGAAGGGTCTTTCCACATCCTCCACCCCATCAGAGATGTAACAAACCTGCAACCTGCTTAATACACTCTGCCCTGGGGAAACTTGAGGTAAGAAATCAAACAGCTAGAAATGAGATAGCAGGTTTATGGGTCGAATTCCAAAACTGGCTTGATTGTATCACTAATCTAATCAGTCATAACCCACAGACACTTTCTAGTCTACACATTAGGGATCCTTACGAACTGGATGTGGCTCGACAGAAGCGATAGGTAGCTAGAACATTACTAGAAATAGCTAGAACCTAGATAGTACCAATGACTAGGAGTAACATTACCATCACAGGTGATTGGGCCTTCATTATTAACTGTTAATCACACACACACATGCTCAACACAGCCCTTCGCACAGTGGAAGTAACATTCTACATTACGATACCAGTAACAGTTACTATCAGTTGGCTAACTAGGCACCGAACAGCTTTTGTGTGTAATTCAAAAGGCGGCAGTTTGGATCTCAATAGATCCAGTAATGTCCTCTGGGGGAAACCGCCATAGAATACGAACGGTGGGACCATCTAGCACAGCGCTTACTGCACTGTATCTACAACGCCATCTTGTGATGTCACCACAACAACATCTGACCCCTGGGAACACACAACACACATCCACACACTTTGTTTTCGTTGTCTGAGCAAGTGTTTGTCACGAAAACCCAGTGGGAATATATGGGGTCTGTCCATATGTTTGGTGGGAAAAACGTAGCTACTGTATAGTAGACAGCATATGTCTAGCAATCAGAACAGACCGGGGTGATTGAGCACCCGGATTTACTGCTGCACTGACGATGCACCAGAAGTTGGCCCTTGCGAAAGGATTTATTTATTGACAGTCGTTCATTACGGCAATTCCTGCGTTTATGTACTATATGTTATTGAATATAAGAATAGTTGTACCACGGAAGCTTCTGAGGGATGAGACATTAGTATTACAGTTGGTACCGCATGTACAACCAAGCTACAGTTGAATCGGTTGTATAATCATTGTATTGCAAGATCCTTAGGTTCAAGACCGCTTTTTTAAAACAGTTTGTAACAGACCCAACTAGAGGAAACAATCTGTTTGACTTGGTTCTTACCAACAAAGAATCACTAGTTAATAATCTTGAGGTTAGTGATGAGCTAGGGGAAAGTGTTCACAAATCACTTAGTTTCAATATATCATGGAATTACCTAGATAACTGCAATCAAGTCGTTGTCCCAGATTTTCGCTTGGCCGACTTCACGGGTATGAGAAATTACCTGGGTGGGCTAAACTGGGACCTTAGTATGTGTCAGGTAGGTAGGGTTGGTTGCCAGTATGACGTATTTCAGAGCATAGTGCTGGCTGCCCAGACGGCTTTTGTTCCGAGTAGGGAAATTAGATCTAACAGAAATGATCCCAGATGGATAAACAATAGATTAAAACATCTCATTGGTCAAAACAGAGGTGTATCAAAAGAGAAGTGCAGTAAAGAAATCAATATATTCAATTAAAGAGAGAAACAAAAAAGAAGGAATAAGAAAAGCAAAAAGGGATTATGAGGCTAAAGTCCCAAGGGATTCGAAAACTAACCCAAAAGGGTTCTTTCAGATATACAGAAGTAAGATTAGGGACAAGATAGGCCCAGGTCAGATCACTGACAGGGATAAGGAAATGTGTGAACTTTTCAATACTTACTTCTCAGTTTTTACTCAGGAAGATATTAGCGAAATTCCAGAAATAATAAATTATGTAGAACAGGACGATAATAAACTATGCACGATTAGGGTAACTAGTGACATGGTCCTCAGACAAATACAGAAATTAAAACCTAACAAATCCCCAGGCCTTGATGAACTGTTTGCTAGGGTTTTAAAGGAATGTAAAGATGAACTTTGCATACCTTTAGCTAATATTTTCAATATATCACTATAAACTGGCATAGTGCCAGACAAGTGGAAAATGGCAAATGCAATTACTATTTACAAGGCAGGTGACAGGTCCTTAGCTTCGAACTATAGACCAATAAGCCTTACCTCCACAGTGGGAAAATTTATGGAATCAATAATTGCCGAAGCAATTCGTAGCCATCTTGAAAGGCATAAATTGATTAATGAATCTCAGCACTGTTTTACTAAGGGGCGTTCCTGTCTTACGAATTTACTAACTTCTGTAAGGTATTTGAGGAGGTAGATCATGGTACTGAATATGATATTGTGTATTTGGACTTCAGTAAGGTTTTCGACAGAGTTCCACTGCAGAGACTACTGAGGAAACTTAAGGCACACGGAATAGGGGGAGAATTTTTTTCCTGGGTAGAGGCATGGTTGACAAATAGACCACAGAGAGTTTGCATAAATGGGGAGAAATCAGAATTGGGGCACGTCACAAGCGGTGTTCCACAGGGGTCAGTGTTGGGCCCTTTGTTGTTCACAATTTACCTAGACGACATAGATGAGGAAATAAATAGTGACATAAGCAAATTTGCTGATGACACCAAAAAGGCCGTCCAATTCATTATAATAATGACATTAAATAACTCCAGGATGATTTGAATAGACTCATGCAGTGAACGGAGAAGTGGCAGATGCAGTTTAATATAGACAAATGCAAAGTTCTAAATGTTGGACAGGAAAATAACCATGCCACGTATAAATTGAACAATGTAGATCTTAATAGTACGGATTGTGAAAAGAATTTAGAAGTTCTGGTTAGCAGTAATCTGAAACCAAGCCAACAGGGCATAAATGTTCGAGAAATAGCTAACAGAATCCTTGGCTTCATAGCAAGAAGTATAAATAATAGACGTCCTCAGGTTGTTCTTCAACTCTATGTATCTTTGGTTAGGCCTCATTTAGATTATGCTGAACAGTTCTGGTCATCGTATTACTGAATGGATATAAATGCACTGGAAAACGTACAAAGGAGGTTGGCAAAATTGATCCCATGTATCAGAAATCTTCCTTATGAGGTTAGACTGAGTGCCCTGAGTCTGCACTCTCTAGAAAGGCGTAGAATTAGGGGGGGATATGATTGAGGTGTATAAATGGAAGACAGGAATTAATAAAGGGGATGTAAATAGCTTGCTGAAAATATCTAACATAGACAGGACTCGCAGCAATGATTTTAAATTGGAAAAAAATCAGATTCTGGTTTGGTAATAGAGTTGTGGATAAGTGGAGCAAACTCCCGAGTACCGTTATAGAAGCTAAGACGTGTTGTTTTAAAAATAG